GTAATTTACAGTGATTTATTAATCAGCAAAGACGTAGATAAAGGGAATCAAGAAGCCCAATATATCTTTGGGTAGTAAGTATAAATGTTTACATTATAATTTTAAGTTACGAATTTGTTCCTTTTTCAAATCCTGATTCTTTTTTTTTTTTTTTAAGATTTTATTTATTTATTTGACAGAGACAGTGAGAGCAGGAACACAAGCAGGGGGAGTGGGAGAGGGAGAAGCAGGCTTCCTGCTGAGCAGGGAGTCCGATGTGGGACTCCATCCCAGGACCCTGGGACCATGACCTGAGCTGAAGGCAGATGCTTAACGACTGAGCCACCCAGGCGCCCTCAAATCCTGATTCTTAGACAGCGGTCATTAGTGTTATCTGAGAATCTTAAGCATTAATGTTTTATTTGACTACAGGACTGAAAAAAAATAATCTGCAAAATTAAGGTGGTAGTAATTTAGTCTACATTTGTGTAATATTTTGTGGAGTCTTCAAACTTGATCCAGTATTTCTCCACTTAGGTAGAGAGCAAAAAGGTAGAAAACTTATTTAAAGCCGTATGAACCTGGGAGTCGCACAGCCTGGTCTAGAATGCAGGCATTTTTCTCAGTCCCATTCTGGTTTTGTTTTGTTTTAAAGCAGGATGACAAGAAGCTGGACAAAGAACTAAAAACTTGTGACTAAACCTACCGTTTTTCAAAAGCTTTTAATTACGGAAATTTTCAAACAAAATAGTGGGCGCCCATGCCCTCATCACCTAGGTTTAGTAATTGCCATTGTGTACCAATTTTAATATTACTCACTTTTTTTGGAGTTTTTTATTCATTTTTAAGGATTTTATATATTTGAGAGTGAGTGAGAGAGAGAGAGCGCCTGAGCAGGGGCAGAGGGAGAGGGAGAAGCAGACTCCCTGCAGAGTGCAAAGCCTAACACAGGGCTTAATTCCCAGGACCCTGGGATCATGACCTGAGCAGAAGGAAGATGCTCCACTGACTGAGCCACGCGGGCCCCTCTTTTTGGAATATTATAAAGCAAAATTTCAGTCATTTTATTACGCATTTATAATTTATAATGCTGATTAATGTTATGTCAAAAATACTAAGTATTCATTGTGACAAGAATCATTTGAAGCAAAGTTAGATAACCTGCAGGAAAAACTGTCACAAATCAGTTACCAATAATGATAGCTGATGTTTGAGTGTACACTGTGTGCAAAATTTTATGCTGTTTACATTCATTAGTTCAAGTAACCTTAAACCTGAAAGTACCATTATTGTTAACTCTATTTTATACCTGTGGAAATTGAAGCTGAAAGAGATTAAGGTAACTTTTCCAGTGTTGAGCATCTAGTTAATGGTCAAGTCAGGATTTTGAACCTAGTCTGTTGTAATAATAGTCTTAGGATATTATTTTTAGGATTATTGAAGATGTGAATAGCAATAATTTGTTTATAGAAATCTGGAAGCCAAACTTCCTGAATCTGCTAAAATGAAAACTTGGCTCTTATCTAAAGAACCCATTTTGGGGGGCTTTAGCTTGAGTATTTTGTTGAACTCTGTTGTCTGCTCTTTTCATCACGTGTTCTAGCTGATTTTAATGTAATATTGCATAAAAGATACTTTCTTAAGGTATTTAAGAACTTTATAAATCCTGATTTATTCTCTTACGTTTCTCACTGGTTGGTGAATCACTTGGATAAAAATATATAAAGCAATTTATTCCCTCTCTCTTTTTACATTTCTTTTTACAGTCTGTTAGTAAGTAATCTTGGTTGTAATAAAGGGAAGATTGATTTGGCATTTTGAATTCTATATATAGGTTATGGCCACATCAAGCACCTGTCAGGGTATTGGAGAGAGTGCAGGAATTGGAATCAGGAGATCTGGGTCAAATTCTGGCTTAACCATTTACACTCTTTGACCATGGGATACCTAAAAGGGTAAAGAAATCTGTTTACTCTCCCAAACTTGCACATCTCCCAGATGCTTGAGCCCAAAACTGAGAATTTAGGAACACCATTGAATCTCCCCTCTCCCCATTCTCTCTGCTTCACATCAACAATCTGTGAACGAATACTGTTGACTGCACTTCTAAACCAGATTCTGACTGTCTTTTTTTTCCAACTTCCTTGCTACTACCTTTTCCAGGTAACCTTTGTGTTGAATTTCAACCTTCTAATTTATCTCCTTGTTCTCCTCTCCATATTGTCCATGCTGTTCACAGCAGCCATTTTAAAATGTAAATCTGTTGGTGTGACTTCCCTGATTGTGGAGCCTTCCCATTGCAGTTAGAATAAAATCTACTTTTTACTCTGGCCTGCTTTCTAGATGCAATGTGATCTGGTCCATTCCTGCCTCTTTCACCTTATCTCACACCCTCTCCATGATGAGAGTGCCTCAACTTTCTTAGTGGTGTTTCTGTCCTGAATTTGCCAAGTTTGTGTCTTCTGCTTGGAATGCTCTTCTTTCTCTGTAACTTTGCAATGTATCTTGTCTTTAGCTTTAATGTTATCTTCTTAAAGAGGGCTCAAGGCAAAGGCACTACCTTTGTAGTCCTCCTCTCCACCTCTTAATACATCGTTTTGTGGGTTTTTTTCCCTCTTTCCCTCCCTTTAACATAAGCTCCAAGAGAGTAGGAAACTTAATGTCTCACTTGAAGTACAGTATTTCCAGTGCTAGAATAGTAGTGCCTGGCATATAATAAACACTTCATTAATTCAGATTAAGTCTCACAACTTAGAATTCTCTTTATTTGAGAGATGGGTTAACATGTAGTTTATCAGATTATGAGGAATAAATGAGATGATTTTATTTAAAGTCACCTAGCACAGTTCTTAGCACATGGTTGGTATTTAGATGTTTTTGGCTATGGTTTATTGATTTTTATTCCTCCTTAGTTGGGTTTTGGAGAGCATGCACCTCTTCCATAGTCCTGTTTCCCATAAAACCTAGCATAGTGCTTTTTACATAGACTTTCATTTAAAAAATATTTGCTGAGCTGATTTAGCCTTTGTACTAATTATATTAAATATTGTTATTAAATGTTAAATATGTTTTGTATTAAATATTACATATTATTAAATACTATTAAATATATTTTGTGTCATACTTCACATGATTTTGGAGTTCTTTTTATGAATACTTAACCATATTTATAGATTATGAACAAGAATGTGTATCTATTAGTATAACAGCCTACAGCCCTCCTCCCTTTGTTATTCCTAGCGTATTTTTTTTGGAATTTCAGAAGTCATGATTTGGAGTAAAGAGGGATTTGGCAGTTGGTTTTTCTTTGGATATGTGAAAATTAAAATTAACCTTTTAAAATTGTTTAGGGGAAGTGTTAGCTAAAATGAGCCTTGTATCACTTCCAGCAGTGAATCAGTAGTATTGGACTTCGGGGTCCAGAATAAAGTTTTCATAACAGATCAGTTTAGAAGATTAGTTTCTTTCTGCCCCCTTGGGGGAATTTGATATTTTTAAAACTAAACATGCCTGCACTTTACAAATCCTTTTGTTTCTGTACCTATGGTCTATTTTTTTTATTTTTTATTTTAGTATGTTTCCCTTAATTATTAGTTCCTATTCTTCCTAGTTTGAACCTCACATCTCTTAATCTCCCCCACTGTAGGGTCATGGGTATATAGGGGACAATGTTCTTAATTCACCAGTTTAATCTTAACATTTCTTTTGCTTTGTATTTCCAATTTTATTGCATTTTTTTAATTGGATCTTTGGTAAGAGTCACAGATTTTCATATTTATGTGTATTTTTTTAAATTTAAAATTGGTCTGTGAATTCCTTGAGGTTAGGCATGAATACTATTAATCTTCTCTTCATTAGTTTCTGCTCCCCTAGTGGTTTTTGACTATCCTTCGCACATCACTGGTGATCAGTCACTGAATGTTACTTACAAGGCTGACCTCTTCAGTGTTGATAACTGCTTAATATTTTGCACAAAATTTAAATTTATTTGCATAGTAATGGTAAATTAGTTTAGGAAGATATCTAATCTATTAGATATTTGTTTCATTTATTGCCTGTTCTTTTATTGAAATGTCTGTACATGTATCACAATGCTTTTAGGCACTGAGCTTAGAGTTATTATGATAGCTGTTAATAAGAACTTTAAAAACCAGTTTCACATGAAACTAACCTGTAGAAAGGAAGTGGCCAAGAGAGAATAAAGAATAAGATAAGTAGCAAAGCATTAAAAATAAACTCACACTTGAGGTAATTTATAATTATAGCATTATGGTACTAACTACTGATAGATGACATGTTTTGATATTCCAAGAATACCATATTTGGCATTATATTAGCCACTTTGAAATTTTCTGATAGGATAGCAGCATAGCTTCTGTTTTCTAAAGCCCAGATTACTAAAATGAGAATTCAAGTATTTAAATTAAAAAGTAAAATGCTGTCGGGGCGCCCGGGTGGCTCAGGCATTAAGCGTCTATCTTCGGCTCAGGTCATGATCCCAGACTCCTGGGATCGAGCCGCGCATCGGGCTCCCTGCTCCGCGGGGGGCCTGCTTCTCCCTCTCCCACTCTCCCTGCTTGTGTTCCCTCTCTCGCTGTGTCTCTCTCTGTCAAATAAATAAACAAAATCTTTTAAAAAAAGTAAAATGCTGTCCGTTTCATGGTGTACTTTTACATTTTGATTAAAACAAAAAAAATTCCTTAAGCTTTTATGGTTAAAAGTTTATTTCCTAGATGAGTTTCCCTTTCCCTGAAATCATTAGTGCTTTTATTAAGAGTTTATTTCAGTGCCAGTATAATTCATTGTTGTGAACAGTGGTGTTTAATTTACCATAAAGCAAACTTGTATTTTTTTTTTCTTTGCTAGGAATTTGAATTTAGAGTTTAATTTCTCAGAACATTTTCTCCAGGAAGAACTTTACAGTATCTTAAAGACTTCACTTGACTGTTTAATCCTGCATAAAACCCAAGGTAAATAGCATTTGTTTTTCTAGTTTTCAGTTTTGGTTTATTTGAGAAAACGCAACTACTTAATTTATGAATCTGAGTGATTATAAGTGCTGTGGTCTGAAGCTTTTTTTGTTTGGTTTTGTTTTTGGGTTTTTTGTTTTGTTTCATTTTGGTGGCTTATATGAAGTAAGCCAGATTTTAAAAGTTGTAGGAAAAAGATTCTCTTTATCTCGCTTCTCTGTTGTGTGTCTCCTTCCGCTTTTATAAATACATCAACTTAGACTCAGGCCAATAACTCCTTTTCTCGTATGCATATAAGAGGAATTCCGTAACAACTTTTTAACACCCTTGCATTGGTGTTAAGGTAATTAAAGTTGATTGTATTACATGTATCTACTCATTCGGTCTTGACTATAACTCCGAGGAAGATAATTATTATCTTTATGTATTTCTTATTTATGAAAAGATAGAGCTAATATTTGTCTTTAGGATGGTTATGTTTTATTTTGAAATAATCTGAAACCTTGAATTTGTCGTTTAATGGTTTTTGATTGCAGACATTATGTTGTTGCTTCTGTAATGCAACTCAATCTTAGTACTCTTAAATACTATTTTCATAATACTGAGCAGTTCCTAGGTAGATAAAATAAATGCCTTCAGAAATATTCAGTTGTAGGAGGAATTGTTCATGGCAATTGCAGACTATTAGAAGTTTAGTGAGTCCATTTTTATGGAAACAATTATTTTGGTAATAAGTTAGTGGAAATTTAGAAATAGTTATAGCAGAAATAAACTTGGGAGGCATATATATATGTGTGTATATATATGTTTAATTTTGGGAAGAGTAGATCTTCTAAATTATTTAGCCCTGTTATTTCTGTACCCAGTGAAGTTTAATTATTGCACTAGATATTAGTGTTTAAAGTTTGAATATTGGTGCCCAACTTTTCTTTTTCTTGTACTTCCAGTATCTTTCTTCAGTCTTTCCAGTTTATCTTTTATCCTTTTTCATCAACTTACCAGAAGGCTACAGGGTGAACTAGCATTGTCACATAAGTCCATTTTTTTTTTAAGATTTTTTTTTATTACTTATTTGAGACAGAGATAGAGAACATGACCGGGGGAGAAGCAGAGGGAGGGGGAGAAGCGGGCTCCCTGTGGGCTCCATCCCAGGACCCTGGGATCATGACCTGAGCCAAAGGCAGACCCTTAACCATCTGAGCCACCCAGGCACCCCGCATAAGCCCATTTTTATGGGATCATGCAGTATTATATATAAGGAGTGGTTAATTTAGTCGCATTTTATTTTTTTAAGATTTTATTTATTTGACAGACACAGTGAGGGAACACAGGCAAAGGGAGTGGGAGAGGGAGAAGCAGGCTTCTCACGGAGCAGGGAGCCCGATGTGGGGCTCAATCCCAGGACGCTGAGATCATGACCTGAGCCAAAGGCAGATGCCTACGACTGAGCCACCCAGGTGCCCCAATTTTGTCCCATTTTAAGGCTATAAAGCATTTAGGATGACAGTCTGCTAGGTTTATTTATTTTTAGTATTATGCCAATTGTGTTTTCTTTGTTTCAGGTTCCTTACCTGATATTACTCTGATATTTATCTTTTTTACAGGACAGGTAGGCATTTGTATTGGGCATGGAATAAAATCTAACCTGCTGCTATAGTCTTGTATTGCTCTTCCTGGCTTATGCAGCTGCTGCCTTTTTGAATTGAGGCACATAGGTGGTGCAGTCCATAGAAATCTTCTACCTACTATATACAGTAACTGTCATGCAGATGAAGATAAATAGGGAGAATTGTCTTAGTATTCATATGAAAATGGTGATGAGTAATATCCTTTAAGAAACTTATGTCTTGTAAAATTTAATCGGTCTTTGAAAATAAATAAGAATGGGAAACTTCTTTAATTGAATTGTGATTTTTGACTTTTTTGCTCTCATTGACTAGGAGAAAAGAAATGGGTCGCTCCAATTCTAGATCACATTCTTCAAGATCAAAGTCTAGATCACAGTCTAGTTCTCGATCAAGATCAAGATCACATTCTAGAAAGAAGAGATACAGGTGAATTACTGTGTTTTTAATTCTTTTAATAATGATAATCAGCAAATATTCATGGAGTGCTTACTATGTTTAGACACAATGCTGAACTCATTATTTTATTCTCAACCCTGTGAAGTGAATCTCTTCTACCTTCATTTTAGAGTTGGAGAGATTGAGAATTGTTCAAGTTGCAAGCTAGTAAATGGCAGTGCTTAGGTTTGATTTCAGTTAGCGTGACTTCAGATATCAGATCCTTACACTGTGCATTTATGGTGAATTTCTTTGAATTTATAACGTTAGATAAATTGGATAACGTGAGAATTATTTGACAGTAAGCCATCTTTTGTATTCATAGTTTCTCATTGTTTCTGATTCTGATGTCTCAGTATTATGTATGAATTTAGCCAGTGGTGTTTCATTGATGAATATTCTTTTATGCCATTAAATATTCTTTTACTTTAAGTGCCTGTATAACTTTACTATAATTTGTTGGTATGTCCTGTTGGTGGATATTTTCCTGTTTTCTGTGCCTTCGTTCCTAAGGCCTTTATTCTCTCAGTACCTTAGAAGTGAGACTTCCTTCATTAAAAACAGTAAACTTTTGTATAAATGAGAGGTTTTGTTTTTCAAATGTACATTTTTGGTTTTGACTATTGACATGTTACGTTCAACCATAAGTGTTTAGAATGGTAGAATGGAATAGTTTGTTTTTCTTGCATTGATATTTATTTCATTTTTAGTTCTAGGTCTCGTTCCAGGACATATTCAAGATCTCGTAGTAGAGATCGTATTTATTCTAGAGATTATCGCCGAGATTACAGAAATAATAGAGGAATGAGACGACCTTATGGGTACAGAGGAAGGGGCAGAGGGTATTATCAAGGAGGAGGAGGTAGATATCATCGAGGTGGTTATAGACCTGTCTGGAATAGAAGACACTCTAGGAGTCCTAGACGAGGTCGTTCACGTTCCAGGAGTCCAAAAAGAAGATCCGTTTCTTCTCAAAGATCCCGAAGCAGATCTCGCCGGTCATATAGATCTTCTAGGTCTCCAAGATCATCCTCTTCTCGTTCTTCATCCCCATATAGCAAATCTCCTGTCTCTAAAAGACGAGGGTCTCAGGAAAAACAAACCAAAAAAGCTGAAGGGGAGCCCCAAGAAGAGAGTCCTTTGAAAAGTAAATCACAGGAGGAGCCGAAAGATACATTTGAACATGACCCATCTGAATCTATTGATGAGTTTAACAAATCATCAGCCACATCTGGTGATATTTGGCCTGGCCTCTCAGCTTATGATAATAGTCCTAGATCACCTCATAGTCCTTCACCAATTGCTACACCACCTAGTCAGAGTTCATCTTGCTCTGATGCCCCCATGCTCAGTACAGTCCACTCTGCAAAAAACACCCCCTCTCAGCATTCACATTCCATTCAGCATAGTCCTGAAAGGTCTGGGTCTGGTTCTGTTGGAAATGGATCTAGTCGGTACAGTCCTTCTCAGAATAGTCCAATTCATCATATCCCTTCACGAAGAAGCCCTGCAAAGACAATCACACCACAGAATGCTCCAAGAGATGAGGCTAGGGGACGTTCTTCATTTTATCCTGATGGTGGAGATCAGGAAACTGCGAAGACAGGAAAATTCTTAAAAAGGTAAGCGTTAAAATATTTAGATGATAATATTAATACATTTGTTCTTTGAATTCTTTTTGGATTTATAAGACTTAAAATTGTACCGTGATGTGTAGTTAGCTGTTTTTACTCACGACTTTATAATTCAAGTTGTTTATACTACATCTGGTTAACTTAACTTTGGAAATTGAAGTGTTTTAATAGAAGCTAATTGATATTTCTCTTTTTAATTTTATTCGTTTTCAGTCAGTCCAGAATTAAGAATGTAAACAAGAAATTGAGTAGCATAAAGCATAACTGATGGTTAATATGTAAGATCTTAGATGAATTTTGTGTTAGAGCATTGAAAGCTTATTTTGTTTTCTTCATTCTAATGTAACATATAAATAATGTAGTTATAGTACATGTTTTTATTTGTGTGGTATTAATACATGCAGCTGCCAGTTCTTAATAAAACTATCCGACCATAGAAAAGATAACGGTATTTCTTATTCTAGTAATGTTTGAAACATACTTTGTTTAAATTCTGATTTCAAGCATTGCTAAAGCGTTGCTAAAAAACTCAGTGAAAATTGGTTGCTAATGTAGTTTGATTGACTTTCAAGTGAGAACATAGAAGAGGCAGGCTATTTATGGGATAGTGCTGTACAAACTAGAATTAAATTTCTTGTTGAATTGATACAGTTTGTACTTAGTATTGCCAGGAATCATTTTCTGCAGCAAAGTGTATATGAAATAGTTTTGTGATTCAGTTAGAATATTAAATATTAACTAAGTTCACTTTTGTGAACTCATTTCTTTTGGTAGGTAAGTGTTACAGTCTGAAATTTTGAGTATAAGTAGAATTCTGATAAGTATACTGTTTGTTAGTGGTTTTTAGCCTCAAAAATTAAACTGTGTTGCATGTTATAGAAGTTCTGGATAATTGGATTTCTTAGTGCAGAATTGTGGTCTGTGACTAAAACAGGTTTTTGGGAAAGGCTTTACTTTTAAACTTCAGGAGGTCTAATATGTAAATTTATTTAAAAACTCAGTACGTAAGTGCTGTATAGATGCTTTTAATGTTTTTTTTAAAGTGGAATCTGAAGAAAGCACTTTTTAGTAAGATTTTTTTTTCTTTATTACTGGTCCTGTGATATTGGGCAGATCTCGCCGGTCATATAGATCTTCATACATATAAGTATGCAAGTGATCCACAGTGAATGCAATCCAGAGTTACCATCCTCTTCTCTGCTTATTCACAGGTTCACAGATGAAGAGTCTAGAGTATTCCTGCTTGATAGGGGTAATACCAGGGATAAAGAGGCTCCAAAGGAGAAAGGATCAGAGAAAGGGAGGGCAGAGGGAGAATGGGAAGATCAGGAAGCGCTAGATTACTTTAGTGATAAAGAGTCTGGAAAACAAAAGTTTAATGATTCAGAAGGGGATGACACAGAGGAGACAGAGGACTATA